GTACACAATTCAACAGCTTTTGGTATACATTATTAATTTTTTATTGTGGTAAGATACATATAAAATGAAATTTGCCATTTTTGCCATTTTTAATGTACAATTCAGTGGCACTGTTTATATTCACAAAGTTATACAACCATCACCACTATTTATTTCTGAAACTTTTCATCACCCCAAACAGAAACTGTATAACCATTAAGAAACAACTGCCCAGGGCGCCTGGGTGGCTCAGTTGGTTAAGCAACTGCCTTCGGCTCAGGTCATGATCCTGGAGTCCCGGGATCGAGTCCCGCATCGGGCTCCCTGCTCAGCAGGGAGTCTGCTTCTCCCTCTGACCCTCCCCCCTCTCGTGTGCTCTCTCTCTCTCAAATAAATGAATAAATAAAATCTTTAAAAAAAAAAAAAAGAAAAAGAAAAAGAAACAACTGCCCAGACCCTCCTCTCCCCGGCCCCTGGTAATCTCTAATCTACTTTCTGTCTCTATCAACTTGCCTAATTCTAAGTATCTCATATAAATGTAATCATACAGTATTTGTCCTTTTATGTCTGGCTTATTTCACTCAGAATACTTTCAAGATTCATCCATGTTGTACCAAGTATCAAAATGTCATTCTTTTTTATGATGGATAACATTCCATTGTACATATACACCACACGGTTGTTTATTCACTCATCTGTTGACAGACTGTTTCCACTTGTAGCTATTATAAATACTGCTATAAACATAGGGGTACAAATATCTCTTTAAGACTCCCCCTTCAATTCTTTTTGGTATATACTTAGGATTTTATGGATTCTTTGTGGAGAAATGTCTATTCAAGTCCTTTGACAATTTTTAAGTTAGGTTATTTGTCCTTTTGCTGTTGACCGACAGGCATCCTTTATATATTCTGGATATTAAATCCTTATCTGATATATGATTTACAAATAATTTCTCCCAGCCTGTAGATTGTCTTTTCCCTTTCTTAACATTGTCTTTTAACGCACAACTTTTTAATTTTTATGAAGCCACACTTACCCATTTTGTTTCTTTTATTGCTCTTGCTGATGATATCATGGTTAAGAATTTATTGCCAAATTCAAGGTCATGAAATTTTACCACTATGTTTTCTTCTAAGAGTTTATGGCTTTAACTCTTTAGGTTCTTGATCCACTTTGAGCTAATTTTTATATATTATTTGAGATATAGGTTCAACCTTCATTCTTTTGCATGTAGAAATACAATTCTTCCAGTATCACTTGTTGAAAACTATCCTTTTCCTGTTTATTTTCAATAAAGATGTTCTGGTTTCTCCTCTAGAAATTTTGATTCAGTAGATTTGTGGAGGGACTTCAGATTTCCCATTTTCAAGGATGTCTCAGATATTTACCATGGTCAAACAAGTTTGAAGAACAGTAAAGAACACAACTTCAAGTACTTGATTCATATTCTAGATCAGTCAAAGAACTATTTCTTTTTAATCCTTGCTTAGCAGATACACTCAGCTTATGCTACATCCAGGTGAGGACTTAGGTAAGAAGCCCTTAATTTTCACAAAGGGTTGTTAACCTTACCATCTGCACATCTGATCTCTAAAACATAGGGCTTTACCAAAATAAACAACACAAGCTTGCCACAATACAGACTCATGCCATTCACTCTTTTAACAATAAATATGTGAGCATCTATTATACCCCAGCACTGTTTGAGCCACAGGGGATACAGCAGTAAAGATTCTTGCTCTCGTGGAACTTAAAGTTGGCGGGAAACAGACAACAAATAAGTATGTGTGTGTGTTAGGTAATGTGAAATGTTAAGAAAATTAAGGGTAAGTGGAAAAGGGAGTGGTTTTAGATTGCAAAGACATTTTGACGAAGTGACATTTGAGCAGACACCTGAAAAACAGTAAGAAAATAAATTATACAAATACCAACAGCAGAATATTCAAACAGGGGCGCCTGGGTGGCTCAGTAAGTTAAGCGTCTGCTCAGCTCGTGATCCTGGGGTGCTGGGATCGAGTCCCATATTGGGGTCCCTGCTTTGTGGGGAGTCTGCTTCTCCCTCTACCTCTCTTTTCCTGTCTCTCATGAATAAATAAAATCTTAAAAAAAAAAAAAAAAAAGAATATTCAAGACAGAGTGAGGCCCAAAGATTACAAGCTTGAACAATATACGACTCAACTATCAGCAATGAAGCCCAGTTAGATTTCAAGGATTAAAAGGATTCTTGAGGGAAATCCAATTCATTTCTTCCTCTAGATTAGGGCTTCTCAACCTAAGCACCACTGGTTGATGTTTTTGCTCAGAATTCTTTATTGTGGGTGAGCATATGAGTGTTCCTGTGCATTCGAAGATAACAGCATGCCTGGCCTTGGCCCACCAGATACCAGTACCACAGACACAGACACACGTGTGCGCATGCACGCACACACACACCCCACCATCACCCTTAGTTTTAGACAAAACCAAAAATGTCTCCAGATATTGCCAAATTCCCCTGCAGGGCAAAATGCACTCTAGATTGAAAACAAGACTCCCGATCAGTCCTTAAATTGAAATTCCATGTAGGAAACCCATAAAAATGGTCTTTAAGAGGTCTATGAACCATGTAGTCATCTGAAAGAGTACATAAAGTCTGCATGTGTGTGAAAATGTGCTTTTTTCTAGAGAGAAGGTGCAGAACTTATAATATCTAGAAGGCTAATGACTCAAAAAAAATAAAATTAAGGAATGCTTTAATATTTTAATTGGGTTACTAACTAGGAAGATTGTATAACTGCGTAAATTTCTAAAAACATACACTCTTCCAAGACTGAATCAGGAAAAATACAAAATCTGAACAAAAACAGAATCTGAAATATACATATATACATACATATATATGTTGAACAACAACATCTGAAAGCTCCAGGTTTGAGCCACATTTGTCCTAGCAGCCACGTATTTAATATCAATGGGCTGCGCTGTGGTTTCCTTTTTTTCTTTCATCACAAAACCCATCAAAAGCCTATAAAACCTGTCACTGAATTTACTAAAAGATGTTCTTGAAAAATCATCACCAACTGTCATTTTATTATCATCCCTATTTAACAAATGAAGAAACCAAGGTCAAGATAAGTTGACTGATTTACCCAGGATCAGAAAGCTCTTGAATAACAAAATTGGAAGTTATTTACATGGTTATATGACAGGAAAGAGCCACAGGAACATACCTAACTTCTTGGTTTTATTTATTTCAAAAGCAAAATAGGAAATGCTATAATTATGGTACATAACCAATAAATCACTAGCAAACTAACCTCAAAGAGCATAAGATGAATAAATTAGATATATCAACTGTAAGATTAACATCGTCTATGACTGAAAAACCTAAAATTTGTTTAGGGTAAGTGAAGTTTTTCTGACACCTGAGTCCTCACTGAACCCTCAGTAGGTCAGTTAAGTGATATGAAGGATAACCCTGCAACATACCTAGAATAAGCACAGAAGTGCGTTTTATTTACTTTTTTTAATCCCTCAATGCAAGCCAAAGTACAATTCAAAGTATTTAAAATATGATTCAATAAAGACAATTCTACAGGAATGGGGAGCCAACACAAGCATCTAAAAAGTTAGTGATCTCAATGTCTACTTTAATCTAAGAAAAAAAAAAACCAAATTACACAGAGCAATGATTCTTCAAACTTGTATTTTAATCATGAAACTCATTCTTCTAACCAAAATCTTATAACAATGTCTATTACAGTGAACAGATTAAAAGAGCTGCTCTTGCTGAACTGGGTGATCAGTACCCCAATGACCCCAACTCTTCTTGTCAAGGAAATCCCAATGAATAACTTGAAAACCAGCGATCTGTCAGTGTTTTTGGAAATGTGAATTATTACAGCCTTTCTAAAAAGAAATATATTCATAATATCTATTAAATTTTAATGACACATTCCCTTCAACCCAGTAAACCCTCTCTTCCCACTCAATCTCACAAGAACAAAAATGTCAGTATAAATTGTACATGAATATTCATCTTAGCACTATTTATAGTGGAAAAACAAAACAAAACAAAGAACGTGGAAAAAACCTGACATCTACAAGGGAACAGCTAAATGAAGTGTGGTAAATCTTCCCATGGAATATTGTGCAGCTGTTATAATGAACAAATTCCATCAGCTCATCTATACTAATGCTGAGGAGAAAAGTATTATTCTCAAGTGTGTATGTGTGCACACACAGGCGCACACACACACAAATATGGGTATAATGACATTTTCATAAAACAAGTACCACCACCACATTTACCAAAAATAAAAGCCCTTCCAGAGAGATGGAAAAATACGTACAGAAATTAATGGGAGGGCGCCTGGGTGGCTCAGTTGGTTAAGCGACTGCCTTCGGCTCAGGTCATGATCCTGGAGTCCCGGGATCGAGTCCCGCATCGGGCTCCCTGCTCGGCAGGGAGTCTGCTTCTCCCTCTGACCCTCCTCCCTCTCATGCTCTCTCTCATTCTCTCTGTCTCAAATAAATAAATAAAATCTTAAAAAAAAAAAAAAAGAAATTAATGGGAAATACATAATTCAAAATTATTTCTAATGTTACGCATGTATAAATGGAATATAAACACGATTTGAATCTGGGATGGAAAACATTCCTCCTATAGATATGTTATTTCAAAGTACTTGTAATAAAGCATTTTTAAAAGCAATCCTTAAAGAACAAAAAGCCAATTTCCATCCCAGGTTCAAATTGTGTTTATTGTGGCAGTACTTGTTTTACGAAAAAAAGAAATATTTTCTTTCAAAGTGAAAGACAGCAAAACCGTTTTCTGTATTGATGTTCTGTTACTTTGTTTTCCTGGGAAAATAAATAAAAGAGATCAAAAATTAATTTTCAAGTGAGTAATTGAGTAATTGCATTAGTGGATTTGTGAATAACAACTCAACCAGTGTTGGATAGCTGAATAGTAAGAACTGCAGATAACTGTGTAAGCATATGATATAATAAGATAATAAAATTGTAATGTTTCAGACCTGGAAGAGATCTAAGATGGGTTGAGGATGGAGATGAGGGTTCGGTCATCAAATGAACTCACTGGGTCATGGAATTGAATTCTTCTGTATCTTTTAGTATCTTCTAGTGGAAGGTGATGAGAGGAAGGAAGAAAGAGGACTGGTTAGAGAGATACTGTGATTTTATTCTTGTTAAAGTCAGAGGTGTCTTTGACAGTTCAGAATATTTGTACTCTTGGCTCCTGCCATGGTATACAACCTTGAATACCTTTTGCCTAGTCTTCATTTAAAAATTCAATTTTAAGAAAAAAATGTTAACGAAGAAAAGCAAAGCTCAAAGAATAGCAGTCCACAGTAAATTTGGAAAATTTCTTTTCAATCCCCTAGCAAACCTAAGTATTCTTTTCCAAAAAGGGCATAAAAACTCACAGAAAATGAAGTACTTAAAAAAAAAAAAAAGCCATGAGAAGTAAACTCTAGAATACAGACTGTCTTTTAAGATGCAACTGGATCAGCTTCATACAAATACCTACAGCTTATCCTATAGAAATGGCTTCATTTTCTCTTTTATAAAATGTAGATAGTAACAATTTGCTTAACTGCTGTAAAAACTGTAAACCCCTACACCTGCAATTACCAAATGGTGCTCCAAGACATCTGAAAACACCCAGGACACCACAGCAAACTCACAGGCATCATGGGATTTTTTTAATTATCAAGGAAAACATGACAATTCTCAAAATCTGTCAGACACCAAGTGAACTACTAGCTCAAGGTAATTCCATTTTAACATGAGATCATTCTACATTCCTTCTGAAGGTACCACATCTTTGAGAAACTGGGTTTGGAGGCAGCTGATGTGATAAAAAGTACTGCATGGAAATCAATGAGAAATAGGAAATGAGGTTGCAGAATCCAATTTGATCCTAAGACCTGAGGGCTTGTCTATGACCCACAGGCAAACGCATCCCACTAACAAGTAACTACTGTTATTTACGAATAAAAAAATATTTTTTCTTTCAACGTATGTGTAATTCCAAGGCCATAAATACTTAAGTTATTCATACCTAACTGAAATAGGACTATTAAGTATTATTTTTTGGCTCTATAAAAAATGGAATGAAACACTAAGAGCACTGTAAGTCAAGCACTTTTGGGAACCTCTCACTGTGTATTTACAAGGGATTCTCACGGATATTTGTAAGTTGCACTAGGGTACATCATCTCTACCCTATCTTCACTGGTAATGGGGCAAAGAAAATAAAAAACTGCAAAGACTGAAAACATAAAAAATGAAAATGATAGGGTGTTCACCATCACATTTCACTCTAGAAAAGCAGAAAACAAAACTAAAAGTTGAATACAATAATTAAACAAAAAAATACCCAAATGTTGCCTGTCTTATGTTTGTTTAAAGACAAAGACTACTTTAGTCTCAAAGTCTTGGTTATCTAACAATCTTTTCAAACACTTTTTAGCAGTTGAGCCCTTTTTTCAAAATCCCCCACCAAATTCTAAGTTACAAAATATCTAAAAAGCAGAAGTCTCTGTGGCTGAGGAGGAGCCTAGGACCACACTCTGGCGCACGTCCTCCACACGGGTAACAGTAGTCACTGGAACCCAGAGGTTTCAACAAATAGCTAGGGCTGCTGAAGGTAAAGGGGCAAAAGTGCCCCAGCCTTTCAATTAAAACAGCTCAGCACCATAGAAGATCTCCTTTGAAAAACTGATTCTTTGGGGAGGCACAGGTTATAATCGACAGCCTAAGGCCAGGACAATGACTTTCAAACTTTTTTTTTTTAACTGCAATACAACCCAATACACAAATACATTAACAACAACAAAAGTCTCATTAAATAACCTTTTTGTGTGTAATTCATGAGATTTTCTATTACAATTGAAACCCAGTTTACAAAAAACCTCTGGCCTAAGAAATTGCCTCAATGACTTCTGAAGCTATCAAAAGAAATTTTTTTCAGAGATTGTGAACAGGAGGAGCAAGGAGAGAACAAAAAGTTATTTGTGGTAATATAGGAACAAACAAAAAAAGAGAGAAAAGAGAAACCTTACGATTTCCACCTCATTATGCATACCAAAACCCAAACAAAAACAACAGAAAAAGGGTGGGGAAAAGGAGGGAAACAATATGGAAAGAGTGAATATGCATACATTAGAGCTCAATGTAAAAAATAAAATCATCAAAATATTTTCTCTAGTTAAGAAAAAACTTTTCTACCTGAAAACAAGAGAATAAACCTTTGAATCTTTTTCAACACAACCGATTTTGCCAGCTGTCAACCACATTATAACATTCATCTCTCCTCTTCCCCAAATCCATCAAAATGACCAAAGAAAAAGAAGCAGCATTAGAGATCAGAAGAGATCACTGACAATGCTGATAGTTGACAGAAGGAAAACCAAAACTCCAGAAGCCACCCCACCAAAGAAGAAATGGGGTAGAATGGACTGAAGACAATAAAATGGAAGCTTCCCTAGCTTTGGCCCACCATAATTAACAAACAAGCAAACAGAATCTTCCAATAACATTATCTTACCTCTACAGCAACTTATTTCCTAATTCCTGTTAATAATCTCAGCTCAGATAACACAGCAAATAGGATTTTGAAACGCTACCAGAAATCAAAACAGAACTAAGATGGACAAAGAGGTTTCATACGAGTTTTCTTGACTTGGCATAGACTGCAAGATAAATCATTTGGAATTTTGTGACCCAAATGCTCTCTCAGCCATTTGTCTTGTTCCAGGGAGATGTAAGACTTGCCAGTATGCTCCCAGCCCACATACCTTAAAAATAATTCTACTTTTTTAAAGCCTGTCTCAGTTCATTTACCATACCAGAGATAACCTACACAGGAGGGGATCAGAGCCACCCATTCCTTTGCAGGACTCATCTAGAGAAAATAATCCTAATTGGTACAATTGCTAAAGCAGCCCACACCCACTATCAACAATGACTAATTCAGAATCCCACTTATAACTGCATAAGGATAATTCAACATGTACATAAGACTCAGAGGGTCCAAAAGAGGTGCACAAACTGAAAATCAGAGCAAACAGGCCAAGTGATATAAAAATAAATACAGAAAGGTACAAGTGAAATTTTAAAGAATTTTTAAATTAACACTCTGAATGAAACGTGGAGAAACTTACATACATAATAACAGTAGACTACCTGAAAAGCAGCAACGGTAAAACAAGAAAATTCTGGAGACTTGAAAGCACAATACTCCCAAACTTCCGGTAAGGGTGAGGGGAGAGGTAACTAAGTACCAACAGAAGTGGGTGCTTGGGTGGCTCAGTAGATTAAATGTCTGCCTTCGGCTCAGGCCATGATCCCAGGGTTCTGGGATTGAGTCCCACACTGGGCTCCCTGCTCAGCAGGGAGGTCTCCTCCCTCCCCCCCGCCCCTCCCCTCCACTTATGAGTGCACTCTCGCTCCCTCTCTCTTGCAAAAAATAAAATCTTTAATAAAAATTTTAAATATCAACAGAGGTAGTGAAGAGTCTAATGAATACAACTTAAAAAAAAATTGAGACATCCATATTCAGTAATATACAGACTATGTATTATAAAGAGCCCAAAAGATCCAGCAGAAAACTGTTATCACATTGCTGAACTCATAAAAAGGAAAATCTGTAAGGAGATTTCTACACTTCACCTTCACTTCCACACAAATGTCCATATCAGCTCTGTGCCAGCTACAAGGTTGCCAGCTGAACCTGAGAGTCATGCTTTAAACATATAAACCCTAGAAGGTTCCCAAGATATAACAAGTCCTATTTCTTAGCAGATGGAAAGGCAAATCCTCTGTGGAATTAAAAAACTTCTCAATATAAGCTCCCAAATTTTCCACATATTAAGCTCAACAAAATAGAAGTCCTGCTCAAGGATCACACACACCTAAGGAAACACGAAGTGTGAACATGTTATGTATCACTGAATTCAAATATTAAAATTTAATTGCCAAATTATAAAACATGAATGAAATGTAAAAGGGTTTTTTTTTAAATTAAAACACAAGATACGCTAGCAAAAAGAAGCTTCTGAAAATCACCAGAAAAAAACTGAAAAAGGACAAAGATACTAATGGCTGATTTCAAAATCTCAATGAATGGGTTAAATGGATTAAAAATGGGTAGAAAGGGGGTGCCTGGGTGGCTCAGATGGTTAAGCGTCTGCCTTCGGCTCAGGTCACGATCCCAGGGTCCTGACATCGAGTCCCGTATCCGGCTCCCTGCTCAGCAGGGAGCCTGCTTCTCCCTCTGCCTCTCTCTCTCTGTCTCTTATGAATAAATAAATAAAATCTTTAAAAAAAAAAAAATGGGTAGAAAGGGAGTCATAAAAATTAGTAATTTGAAGAAACTACATAAAATACAGGACTTAGAGAAAAACAGATGAGAAATTTAAAGGAGAATTAAGAGATAGCAGATGATAGCAAACTTCAAAATCCTAAGAAAAATTCTCTAAAAAGTAATTATAAACATGGAAAGCAAAATACAAACAAGCACTGTACATAATAACAACTCTCATATGAGGAATAAAAAAGAGAACTAAAATCTGGGCAACATCATCATGGAAGTTGGGAGAAGGGTGCTGATCAGAGTAAAAGGAACTTTGTGTCAATTTTGAAAAGGGCGAAGTTTTTAAATCTTAATATTAACTTTAACTGGGGGCGCCTGGGTGGCTCAGTCGGTTAAGCGCCTGCCTTCGGCTCAGGTCATGGTCCCAGGGTCCTGGGATCGAGCCCCGCATCGGGCTCCCTGCTCCACGGGAAGCCTGCTTCTCCCTCTCCCACTCCCCCTGCTTGTGTTCCCTCTCTCACTGTGTCTCTCTCTGTCAAATAAATAAAATCTTTTAAAAAAAAAAATTAACTTTAACTGTGCAATGGAGAATTTAAAGGATATCAATTATTTTTTATTTTTTTATTTTTTTATTTTTTTAAGATTTTATTTGACAGAGAGAGAGAGACAGCGAGAGAGGGAACACAAGCAGGAGGAGTGGGAGAGTGAGAAGTAGGCTTCCTGCAGAGCAGGGAGCCCGATGTGGGGCTCGATCCCAGGACCCTGGGATCATGACCCGAGCTGAAGGCAGACGCTTTAACGA